TGGTGTAAAAAAATAAAAAAAAAATTTGTCTTTATCTAATTCATAAATAGATTTCATTTCAACTTTACAGGTTCTTTCTCTTACAATTAGATCAATACAAAATTATACTTGCTCAAATTAGAAAAAACAAGGATATTAATGTTGAAAATATACATCTTGACTTTTTTGCCATTTTAATTTTTTATTTTGATTTTGGGATGAGTTGGGAACAAATTTGGAAAATGATGTTTAATGGATTTCTTGAAAGATGAAAACCATGGTGGGGTTTTGGAATGTCTGCTAATAGGAATTATATATATTTTTTGTTTTAAATTTTTTAGTAAAGCATGTTTAAGCGTAGGGATTAATTTTATTTAAAATTTGAAAAGTATATGCACTACTATGATTTAACTATTTCCTTTGATTGGCATGATCACATTTTTAAACGAGTAGTAGCGAAAGCATTAACAAAGGATTAATTTGCTTATATCCCAAAGTTAAGGGGCTTGTAAGGATAAAAATAGTTTAGGGGGTTTATGTGCGAAAATTAGTTAGTTTGGCGGCCTATGTCATAGTTTGTGAATGCAATACTTTAGTTTTTTTTTTTTAATCTTTTTATTATCCAAAAATATAAAAAATATAAATTCAAAAATATAGAATATTAACATTCACAAGCTGGACCGTGGAAAAATTAAAAGGAAATTTTGAAACCAAAATTTGAAACTAATGATGTAATATAAATTATATTATTAAATAAATTAATACTTATGATATTATGTATAAACCCTAATAAAATAAAAATATCAATTATTAAATAATACAAATTTTATGTATTAATATTTTAAATGATGTAACTTAAATTTTAATCTTATTTATCATTATTCTAAAACTAATTGTCTCGTTAAGGCAATACAAGAGAAATCAATATCATTTCATTCTTACTTGAAAAATAAGCTGATTAGTCTTTCTCCAAAAAAATTTATTTAAACAAGGTAACTTTTAGACCTTTTTTCTAATTTTTAAAAATTCCAATTGAGAAATACTTTTCCTAAAAATTTTATATATATTTAAAATATAGAAAACTAAAAACAATAGTACTCTTATCCCAATATAATAGTACTTTTTTTTATATATTTTAAGGGAGGGATAGTGATATAAAAAAACAAAATTTTTGCACAATTTTCTATACAATTTTTACATATTATTAAATAAGTGAATGTATTTACTATTATGGATCAAAATGAATAAAAAAATTAATTATTTAAATAACACGTGATGTTGTATTAAAAAAGGTATAAAATGATTATCTCTAAATCATTTTTTGTTCAAAGAGACAAATATTTTTTTCTTACTTTAATCTTATCATTATTTTTTATTTTAATTATTCATTTTATTATAAAAAATTTTCATTTTTATTTATTTTTAAAAATAATATAAATAAAACAATAAATTATCTCTAAAATTTTAATATAAAAGTAA